CCCTCCAGAAGCCTCTAAGGGGAGGGAGGGGGCACTTTTTTTCCTGTACATAACTCGAGGGAAGTTCATATGTCGAGTCCTTATTTCCCCTATAGGGCGGGTTCGTAAGTTGAATTGTTCGCAAGTAGGGTCGTTTGTAAGTCGAGACCCCACTGTACAACATACGAGGGGGTGGGCCTTGTGGCTTTTTCCCCACCTCCTTGTACGATGCATTCAGGGTTCACGACCACCCACGGTTTTAAGCATTCGCAGTAGATCATGGAATGATCCCCGGCAGATATGGGAGTCCTACTGTATTTATTTCCCATTTCCCATCATCCTTATACAAAATGATTCACAACCTTTATTACATCCGTTAAACATGTCACACAGCTATACAATCCCAGATGTACCGTTTTCCCGAAAATAAGACCAAACCTGAAAATAAGCCCTAGTCTGATTTTTCAGGATGCTCGTAATAATAGCCCTACCTCCAAAAATAAGCCCCAATTAAGTGAAACCCCGCCCTCCACCCTTGTGTAGCAACCAGAAGAAAACATGACAGTATTTGAATCAATGTAGATGGTTGTACATGAAAAAAAATAAAACATCCCCTGAAAATAAGCCCTAATGCATTTTTGGAGCAAAATTTAATATAAGACTCTGTCTTATTTTCGGGGAAACACGGTAAGATTTGTCTAGCACACTAGTTACGTTAAAATCCTCCAATTTTTTTATTCCATGTACAGAACACATCTAGTTTCTGTGCTCAACTCTCACTGTTAGCTACCTATAGGCTGTTATTGTTCCTCAAATGACATGACTTAAGTTCAGCAACTAGGGTCACTGGCCTATTTTGGACACAGCAATCCATGCACAGAATCCTGTATTTGTACCCAACAGCAGTGAGCGGTACAGAACAAGATTAAAAACACCACAGGCACATGTGCTTCCTGAAATCATACCTCCATGATTGCACTTCCAAGACTGCATTCAGCAGAGGCTGCAAGAGCACCTACACGGCAGAAAATGTCCAACAAAATCAAAAGGATGTGCCCCAAATGGATAGCTAAGGTGTACAAGATGCAAGCACGTACCTGATAAGTAACTCTTTTCTTCCCATCCTCCTCCATATGAGATAATATCAAGGGTCCTGAAACGATCCAGACATCCTCAAATCTTTCAGTCAGTTCTCGGCAATACATTTCTACTCTGTAAATTTGCCAAACAGACTGAGTAAACAGATGGGTTGGAATCAGAAGGAGAAAAATATCCGGACATGCCTACAACAAAGCAGGAGGGCAAAGGTACCTTTGGGGGAGGGCGAGAATATAACATTTTCCATGCAAATTAAATTAAAATGCATAATTGGTAAACATACCTCAGAAACTGGCAAACGTAAGCATTAATTTTCAGTCGATTCCTACACGGAGGATTAGCTCTGCAACCTGATCGCAGTTCAAGTTTCTAGCTTTGTTTTCCATTGTTCCTACAAATATTTACCCACCCTCAACAGCGGGAAGCCAAACTCTAGCCAAATATCTTCTCGTAGGCATCCGTGATTGCTTGTCATGTTTTTGTGAAGACATTGCGGCGTAAAGCATAGACCTAATTTGTGTTGCCCCTCTCATTTCAAGCGGTGTTTCGTTTTTACATATCATGAGATAAATGCAATATTTTTCTTGTACGAGTGTCCCTGGGGGGGGGTGTCCCTCACATCCCCTGGTGGAGACGCCAGCTGCTGTGTGCCAGGATGGTGCAGAAAGGTTGATGGAGGCCACCAAGGGAAGAGAGGAGGTGAAGGAACACCCATCATACCTGGGCAGGGAGTCAGGAGCTGGACTGAGCCCGTGGGAATTAAGTATGGGGGGGGCAGGAGGGAGAGAAAGAGAAAGCCTCGTTGCCCTCTTCTGACTCTGAGGGAGACGAGTGGGGTGAAGCTGAGGAGGAACTCGACCCAGTCTTCTGTGCCCTCAGAGAGGAGGACTATGTGGAGATCCAGAACACCCCACCTTTAGGCATTGACAACTCAGCAGGCTATCCAGCCCCCAGCCCAACCCAATGGAGGTGCTGGAAGAGGCAATGCCAAAAGAAGAGTCAGAGGTGGTAACAAAAGGGACAGAGGAGGCCAGGACAGCAGTGACGAGCAGGGGCTATAATACTCCCTCTTAAAGGGTAGGTGTCGGCCCAGGGCTATAGACCCACCACCAACAACAACAGACTAAGGATAGCCCAAACTCAGTGCCGGAGACTCCAGTTCAGGTAGAGGCTGAACAGGGGCGAGGTAGTGAACCAACACAGCCCCCAGAAAATTAGCAGGGTGGGGGTGTGGCTGGCACCCAACCCATCCTTGCATTCCATTCCCCAATGCTAATAAAATCTAGTTCCATTTGCTTGGGGAGTCTGGACTTTAGGGAAGTCATGGCAGAGGAGGTCTCCCTGATGCCCCCACTCCGGGCAGGGGCAGAAGGACCCACCTTTAGCCATTTCCTCAGTAACATGAGAACATTTTGGAAATGCAACCCCCACAAAGGTTAAATAAAAGAGAGTGGGACATATGGATTGTATAGGGTTCTATAGATTGTGTCCAGCGTCCCACCCACCCTCTTACTTGTTGAACTGCAGAATCCAACACAATGAATTGTGATTGTTGCGTCTTTTGCGGCCCTAAAAGCTGGTCCTGAAGGACTGAGAAACACTCAGGGCTTGTATTCAAGAAACCTTGAGGACTTGTGGGGGGAGGGGTCCATTATAAAAACATGGAATCGATCATGATAACAGTGTTGAAAATATCACAAAACGTTAAATACTTTAATTACTTGATGCAGTGCTGGTGTGACACTGGATTTAGGTCCAAATCACATTTTAAGTGGATCATTATGGGACATTATCTTCCCAGCCCAATCTTTTTTCAAATAGAGCATC